ACATCTGTGGTTACTAGGAAAGGTTTGTCACAGTCTGGGGCCCTTAGCACAGGGTCAGACATGAGTGTTGCTTTAAGCTGGTTAAAGGCCTTCTGACACTCTTCAGTCCACTGAACTGCATTTGGCTGTTTCTTTTTGGTTAGGTCTGACAGTGGGGCGGCGATTTGGCTGTATTGCGGTACAAATAGCCTGTAATATCCGGCCAAGCCTAAGAAGGATTGGACCTGTTTCTTTGACTTTGGGACAGGCCACTTTTGGATAGCTTCCTCTTTGGCCTGTAGGGGGTTGATAGTTCCTTGACTCACCTGGTGTCCAAGGTAAGTCACTCTGTTTAGGCCTATTTGGCACTTTTTAGCCTTATCAGTTAGCCCTGCCTCCCTTATGTGCTCGAAGACTTTTTGCAGATGCTCCAGATGTTTTGCCCATGAATCAGAAAAGATGGCCACATCATCAAGGTAGGCGACTGCAAATTCTCCAAATCCTGCTAGGAGACTATCTACAAATTTTTGGAAAGTGGTGGGTGCATTTCGCAGCCCGAAAGGGAGCACATTAAATTCATACAGCACTACATGGGTGATGAAGGCTGACCTTTCCTTGGCAGATTCATCCAGAGGTACTTGCCAGTACCCCTTGGTTAACTCTAAGGTAGAGATGAACTGAGCACATCCCAGTTTCTCCAATAGCTCATCTGTGCGTGGCATTGGATAGTTGTCTGGGCGAGTTACAGCATTTAGCTTACGGTAGTCCATGCAAAAGCGTATCTTCCCATCTGGTTTGGGAACTAGAACCACTGGAAATGCCCATGCACTGTTAGAGGGGCGGATTACACCCATCTGTAGTATGTCCTGGATCTCCTGTTCTATAGTAGTTTTGGCTTGAGGAGACACCCAATAAGGTTGGGCTCTAATTGGGTGAGCATTACCTGTGTCAATGGAGTGGTATGCCCATTTGATCTGTCCTGGGGTGGCTGAGAACATCAGCGTGAAGCTAGTGCACAGCTCCTCGATCTGCTGATGCTGCATATGCCAGAGGGTCATTGAGACGTTCACCTCTTCCATGCCACTGTCACTTTTTCCTTCATAGTAGACACCTTCAGGCCACTCAGCGTCATCTCCTCCCTGAGCTCTAAACTGACAAACCCTTAATTCTCTGGAATAAAAGGGCTTTAGAGAATTAACATGGTACACATTAGGCTTTAGGTTTGAGGTGGTGGATGCTATGAGATAGTTAACAGCTCCCAGGCACTCCTGGACCGTAAATGGCCCTTCCCATGATGCTTCCATTTTATGGGCCTGGAGCGCCTTCAAGACAAGACCTGGTCCCCTACTTTAAAGGAACGTTCTCCACCATGTTTATCATACCAGGCCTTTTGCTCTTCCTGAGCATCTTTTAGGTTTTCTCTAGCATGGGCTAAAGAGGTTTGTAGGTTGGTTACAAAGTCCAGAATGTTAGTTCCTGTAGAATGCGTAAACCCTTCCCATTGCTGCTTCACCAACTGTAATGGCCCCTTAACCTCGCGGCCATACACAAGTTCAAATGGTGAAAACCCTAAACTGGGATGTGGTACAGCTCTGTAGGCAAAGAGCAACTGCTGCAACACTAGGTCCCAATCGTTGGAGTGCTCATTTACGAATTTACGTATCATGGCCCCTAAAGTTCCATTAAACTTCTCCACCAGGCCATTTGTTTGATGGTGGTAAGGGGTGGCAACCAAGTGGTTCACCCCATGAGCTTCCCAAAGGCTTGTCATGGTTCCTGCCAGGAAATTAGTTCCCGAATCTGTAAGGATGTTGGAGGGCCAACCTACCCTGGCAAAAATGTCTGTTAATGCCTGGCACATACTTTTAGCCCTGGGTGTTGCTTAGAGCTACTGCTTCTGGCCATCGGGTGGCAAAATCCATGAAAGTCAGTATGTACTGCTTTCCTCTGGGTGTCTCTTTCGGGAAAGGATCCAGAATATCCACAGCTACTCACTGAAATGGGACCTCAATTATGGGGGGGGGGGGGTTGGAGAGGGGCTTTGACCTGGTCTGGGGGTTTTCCCACTCTTTGGCACACCTCACAAGACCGGACATAGGTAGAAATGTCCTTGCCCATTCCCTCCCAGTGGAAGGACTTCCCCAAATGGTCTTTGGTCCTGTTCACCCCAGCATGGCCACTAGGATGATCATGGGCTAAGCTCGAGCTTTTCCCGGTACTTCGTTGGAACTACCAACTGTCTCTGAGGATCCCAGTTTTCCTGGTGCCACCAGAAAGAGTTTCCTTGTACAAAAGTCCTTTTTCTACAACAAACGGGGATCGATTAGAAGAGCTGAGAGGTGGTGGGTTGCTCCATGCCACCGTCCAAGCTCCCTGGAGGCTTTCATCTGCTTCCTGTTTGGCCTGGAACTGTTCCCTTGATGCTGGAGACATCAGTTCCTTACTGGATTGTGAATTGGTCCCTCTGGAAGCGATGCAGGTTATGGGGCTGTTTCCGCTGACTGTGAACCACTCTCCGCTGGTGTACTATGTGGTATTTCAGGCTCTGGCTGAGCCTCTTGTGTAGGGTTATCTGCTGCTGCTGCCAGTGCAGGCTTGGTGGTGCCCTCTGGTGTTGGAGCGGTAGACGGGGTTGCAAGCGCTGGACTCAGTGCTGGCAATGGTTCTGGTGCTGGTTGCTCCGCCAGTTCCGGTTTTGGGACTGGCTCTGGCTGAGTCTCTGTGACTGGATCCACTACTGCTGTCGCAGACGTTGGCATTGGGTCCGGTTCCACCACCTCAGTCTGGGTCTCTGGTAACACAGCCTGGGCCCTTGTTGAAGGCTCAGGAACAGAGCTAGGTGTGACAGCTCGCTTAGCCTGGCTGCGGGTGACCATTCCCACCTTCTTGGCTAGCTTCACATGGTTGGCCAAGTCTTCCCCCAGCAGCATGGGAATGGGATAATCATCGTAGACTGCAAAAGTCCACATTCCTGACCAGCCCTTGTACTGGACAGGCAACTCGGCTGTAGGTAAGTTTAAAGATTTTGACATGAAGGGTTGAATCATCACTTGGGCCTCTAGATTGATGAATTTGGGGTCCACTAAGAATTGGTGGATAGCTAACACCTGTACTCCAGTGTCCCTCCACACTGTAACCTTCTTCCCGCCCACACTCACAGTTTCCCTTCGCTCTGAGGGTACCTGGGAGGCATCTGGGTCTGAGGACCTTTGGTGTGACTCTGGTGTAATGAACTGCAGTCTGTTGGGGTTCTTGGGGCAGTTGGCTTTCACATGCCCCAGCTCATTACTTTTAAAACATCGCCCAGCTGACTGGTGTGGGGTGACGATAAGGTGTTTGGGTTTTTCCTTGGGATGTAGGTGGGGCCTTGAGCTGCCCCCGGTGATGGGGTGTTGTCTCAGGTTGCGCCTTCTGATAGCCGCTCCAACTGCTACTAGTTTTTTTCTTTTCCACCATCTCCACCACTTTGGTTCCAATCTCCCCCGCCTCAGTTACAGTTTTGGGCTTCCTATCTAGGATATACCTTTCTGTTTCCTCAGGAACACCCTGAGGAAAAACAAAAAAAAGCAAAAAACAAAGCCTCGCGCCCCCCTCTTATCTCCCCCCACAGATTTGAAAGTATCTTCTTTCCCCATTAGTCCTTTTGGTCAGGTGCCAACCAGGTTGTTTGAGCTTCTTAACTCCTTACAGGTAAGGAGGAATTCTAGGCTACCCTTAGCTGTATGGTTATGATATAGCCTAAAGTATGAGGGTTTATATCCCATATAAATATGTTTTTTAACATAACTAATATAACTAGGAATGTTCTCATTACCTATAGAAATACGTACTGTAATCCTTTTTTTGAATCTTGTCCTCAGTAATCACAGGTTTCAGAGTAGCAGCCGTGTTAGTCTGTATCTGCTAAAAGAACAGGAGTACTTGTGGCACCTTAGAGACTAACAAATTTATTTGAGCATAAGCTTTTGTGGGCTACAGCCCACTTTGTAGCCCACAAAAGCTTATGCTCAAATAAATTTGTTAGTCTCTAAGGTGCCACAAGAACTCCTGTTCTTTTTGTCCTCAGCAGTACCTTGTGGCAATGAGTTTCACAGAATAATTCAGTAAATAAATTATTTCCTTTTATTAGTTTGGATATTTGGATGTTTAGCCAAACTGAACTTAACATTCAGTATAAAGTTGTGTGAAACTTTTTCACCAGAGATCTGAATCACTAGCCAGATTTGCTGAAAGGTTCCTAAAGCTTGGCTAACCTGAGTTAAGTTTCAAGGACACCTGAGCCAGTCTGTGAAAACTAGATGCAACTCAGATGTTCTGGCATTTTAGGATGAGGATTTTAGGATTAGCATGAACCCCAGACTGAAATGAAAATTCAAGGGATGCAGATCCCTGTGGATTAAAACTGGAAGGAGAAAAATGGTTTGCATGAATCGCACCGAACCAAACCCACACCAATTTCTACAGCTATTCTCTAATTGATTTGAGGTTAGCCATTTCCTGCTATTTTACAGCTTAATTATAAATTTGGCCTACTGAGCCTGATTGAGCAGATGAATTGGGCATACTGATTCTGATGGTAAGAAAATCTCAGTTGATGTAGTTAATGTGGCAAGGGGGCCAGAAGAGAGGAGTAGAGCAAAAAAGAAATTAACAGAGAGAGTATAGGAATGTGTTAATTGAAGTAGGTTGTCCTTACTACCTTCTTCCAGCTCCCCCATATAGCTATTACACTTCTGCAGACTCTATTACAGTAACTTATATTTCAGTAAGTGGATGTAAGTAGTTCAAAAGGAATCTAACTTACACCAACTTACACATCATCTCTGAATTTGGCCCTCTGAATCCTTCTGAGGAGCTTTGATTTTCAAGAGGAATGATTGCTACTCAGAGGCTAATTCTCTCATTGTGGAAACCACCCACCACATGACACATAGCACATTGGAGTAATAACTTGTGGGTGCTATTTTTAAGTGCTTTTCACCACATCTTCTAAACCCTCTTGCTGTGACATGCTGTCACAGCTCTGCTCAGAAATGTATGCAGACTGAAGAAAATGTATGTTAGTCTCATGAGTGGCTTTGCTCTCTGTGACAGATTATAGCCATTCTATCCAATTTTAATCTTTTCAGTACTGGTGCTTATGATTTTTAATTTTATAATATTAGGACTGTGAACATGCCATGCATAAAACTGAGGATGCCCAGATTCAACTCATGCCTTCTTTTGGGAAGACCCAAGCACCTCTAGAACTGTAAGTGCCACAAGGCTATTTGAATATTAATGACATCTCTGCTTGACTAGTCAGAAGGATTTCTAGGGAAACATATGGGATGTCCTAATGACTTGGACTGCAGGCTAAATATAACCATTAAAAGTTATGCTGAGGACAGTTAACACCAGTCAAGAAATTTCCTAAAACTTCTCAGGAAAGGCATTGGCTAACATCTTGGTTGAATATCATTCCACAAATTAATCATAAGTGCGCTTGAAAGAAAATGGGTTACTCTTTCTAGGAGTGAGTTTCACAAGCGTGGGATGTAAACAGCTCTTGGAAGTTACAGGGGACAGACTCCATCTTGAGAGCAGAATGACAATGATGAGACAGGTAATAGGTCAGAAGTTATTATAATCTTTATTATAGGTTTAAGATTTATGAATGTCTTAAATTATATTTCCTTTCTGTAATTTAAGAAAGAACTAGTTCACAGAATTTTTGCAGGAATAAGTGACATATTTAAAGGTTCAACCTATTTTATTTTCTTTACTATAGCTTAAAATAAATACTGTTCCTCTTTGGTTTTATCTAATCTGGGTTGAATCTGACTGGAAATGAAAGCTGTACTGTCCTTGAAAAATGTGTTCTTCATCTGCCTTCAGTTCATAACTAGGTGGTATAGGGGGAAAACAGCATTAACTGCTGAGTTGTTCTGCTGACAGAGTGAATGCTTGGCCAGAGAGATAGGATTTAGCTGAGATAAATTGTTCTGGTAGAGGCGAGGGCCAGATTGGACATCCGAAAGGACACAGATCGAGTTTAATCCTTGCCATACTTCGTGAGAGTTATCACAACCAACAATGTAATTTGATATGTATGGTCTCATTCTGGTGAGGCCTTCTGGACAGACAGTCCTCAGCATATGTGAGCTGCTATTTCTTGCTGCAGGAATCTTTCCCTTTTGGTATGTACATGTTTGTTTAGCTTTTCTGGATGATAGCAGGGAAGGAAGGAAATCTTGAGATTCAGTTACCAGAGATGGTTGGGAATATGATATAAATATTTTTCAACATAACTTTTAAAGTGTATTAATCACATATATATACGGTTCAAAGCACTGTAATATCTGGGCACTTCATTTATGTGTATCTTGCATATCATCTATGCTTTTATCATCTAATGTTTATTTTTGAGCTTTTTCTGTTATATAATATTCAGGCCTTTTTAAAAAATTACAATTTTAATTTCTAAAAGTATTTGTTTGAAAAATGTTTCAAGAGACTAATAGGCATGAACTCCATCCCCTTTGCTAACTCTCGTTTGCTGCTGTTTATTTCTTCTCACAGCTAGTATACATTTTGAAGTTTTCCATGGATTTAAAAAAAAAGACTTTCTGAAACTGAGAAAACGTGAAACAGGTATTCTCAAACATACGGGCCTCGATTCTCCTCTTGCTGACATCAATCTTACATGAATTACTTAAATGGAGTTACTTCAGATTTACACTGGTGTGGAGGTGAAGACAATCAGGCCCACAGTATCTGTAAAGAGAGAGAATGTTCATATGTTAGACGGCAGTCCATTTATCCCCTCTGTGATTATGCTACGCTATAGTCTCAAGATTTTGGGGGGGATTTTTGGTTATTCAGCAATTTAGGGTAAATCTTATATCACAGCTTCCATGTATATCATATATTATGTGATTCCTGTGATGCTGTTTAACAGGAGTGTCCCTTTAGGGGTATATTTTCACTGCAGTTAAGTGTTGCTGCTTCTAACCCCACTCCAGTCCAAACACAAAACCTTGTCACCTGACTTAAGTGGTGCTTTCAATCTGGGGCTGTGGGCTAAAATCTAGGTACAACTTTCATTTGGGCTGGCAAGAAGTTGCCTGCCCTCTTTGCAGTGAGACCACAGGCTAAATCACTCAAGTGCTGATAGTCCTCGAGTGCCTTGTCACAAGACCTCCCATGCTCTCACGACAGACAAATTGTCCCATAACCCACTGGAAGAGAATCACAGAATGGCTCAGTTACTGCAGCATAAAGAACCGGGGGGATATGCCCCTGGAAGTCCTAGTGACAACACACAAGTGAGTGCACCACCAGTAAAGATACAGTAAATCAAGTATGGCTTTGCAGTATGTCGGTTCAGAGCCAGGCTAGGCCAAACTGGGTGATCAGAGCCAGGGGGCCCATCACCTGCAGTAATTCTGCAGTGAAGAGATACCCTAAGGGAGGCTACTGGGCAGCAAGTCCCAGCCCCAAATAAGGGCATTCTGGTGGAGGGACCAGTGGGAGTTGTCGACTTAGCAGCAATGTGCGCTGGGAAAGGAGCAGGGATATAAATGCAGAGCTGCCTTTTCCTCAATAAGAGAGAGAAGCTAGACCTCTGGAGGGTAGGCAGGTCTAGGGAGGAAGCCAGGCATCATGTATATTATATAATCCAAGTATATTGAAAAATAAGTGTGTGTGTGTGTGTGTGTAAAGATTATTACTATAAATGCAGCTGCATCTATTCACCCTTATTTTAGGAGCTTATCAGCTCCATATCCGCTGACATTATACAGTAGAAAGAACATTTTCACAAATTATCTTTTCATGTTCTCTTTTTATCATCAGGACCTTTGTAAACCAACAAAGCTGTTGAAAACAGACACAGTTTCTTTACAACTTTTATGTATTATTTTGCAGTCACAGGAAATGGAGACAAAACTAAATGTGGAAAACAGTACAGTATTGAAGACTGCTCTTTTACTTTATTAACATTAAAACAAAAGTAACTGCTCTGCAGGATGTGAGAGAAATTGGACTCTTCCCACCCCATTGCTTCACCGAATAGTCTTTTATTTCTCTGTATCTAATTTAAATTAACATTGGAAGACAAAATTCAAGAGGTCCATTTTTTTTAAGATTTGTGAAAGATTAAAGAATTCTGACCAAATACAAAACAGAATCTGAAATGCTTGATTCTTAGATGATTTAAAAACTGGGGTTTTTAAAAGCATATGTGATCAAATTCCATATATTCCCACCACTTAACTGGGAATCATAAAGATTGTTTAAGTGGTTATTCTGAAATCCAGTAAATCCACAATTAAGTATGAGTACAAGAGTAAAAATAACAAAAACAAAAATCGCATGTGAAAGGCAAGCAAAGTAGGTAAAGATGACCCCATTGCCAGTAATCTAGATATAAACTATAAACTAATAGAAATGTACTATTTAGGCTCAGTATGATTTGTTTATAATTAAAATGCCTAAATAACATTAAGTGGTGTTAATGATTGCATGATCAAACACATTTTTCTTCACACATTTTCCATACCACTGAGAGCCGATGCAGCAGTGGGTCTCTCTCTAGGAAATAAAATAAAACTGCTAGTTGTAAGTACATATGCCCACTAGATGTCACTACTAAACTGACAAAACACTGCCACCAACAAGCTTTTACACAACATGCTATTAATTTATAATAAAAGGTATCTGACAGCTTTATTCTGATGAATTATGGGAATCCAAAGCATAATTCCCAGCCTTTGGTTTATAAATTGTCATTGATTTTAATGTTCTTTGTAAAGTTGTGGCACGCAACAAATTTTCCTGCCAAGAGCTGTTAAATAAATAGTCATCCTTTGCTCTGAGTAGTACATTGAACTTGTTAGAGTGATGAGCAGAATGAATTGATGGTTATCCATAAACCATTTATGACAGAATGCACAGCATCAATTCAAACAATTATTGAATGCATTTATTATAGGTTGTTTTTTTTAAATGTTCAACTGAGAAGAGAGGAATATACACAGGTAATAGACAGTAGCAATTCCACACAGTTCTTTACAAGACACTTCTTAACTGACAACTGATTAGAATTATTATAGGATTTGCTGGGGTACATCAAACCTTGCACTTGTTTTGTTTCCCGGTGTACAAAATTTGTCTTTAAAAAGACAGTTATTGTGAAGATAAGCTTATTGTCCTTTTTAAATATCAGCTACAAACTACCTGCTTTAAATGAAAGCTGACATAATGGATGTCTGTTTGCAGCTGATTTTAAGCTAGGATTTATATGTTTGGGCAGTGTTACTTGTGGAGATAAGACTATGGAAGAAATGCTTTAGTCGGTTACAAGTAACATCCAACTTTACACCAAACAGAACTACCTTTATGTAGGAATGACTAGACTGGGTTTTGGAAAAAATAACAGCCCCCAAACCTTTGCCCATGTCTAGACTTGAGCTATGACCAAACCCTTTTTAAGGTTCTAAAAAGGTTAGGTAAGTTTGTCCATTTTGGCACATCACCATGGTTCTGAGTTCCTGCAGGGAATGGAAGGGTTGAAACACTACTAATTTAAAAAAAAAAAGTTGCTCCTGTGATATTCTTAGCCAGATTTGAAAGTGGGGGTGCCAGAAATCTTGCAAGAAAACTTGGTAAGGTTTTGCAGGTTCAGGGATAGATCCACAGCTGGTATAAACTGGTGTAGCTCAGACTTTGAAGACATTTTTCTGATTTACGGCAGCTGAGGTCAAGACCCTGAGAATGTTCCATTAGCTAAGCTTCAGATAAGCATCCACATCTTGGGATGCTTCTATCACGTGAGACCTGGAAGTTTTTAAGACTTGCTTAGTGCTATTTTTTAAATAATGTTAAGATTTCAATACAGGTGTCAAAAGACTGGAGAAACAAGATTGCAACTCCATTCTTACCTTATTTTATTGGCATCTCGATATTGGCAGCCCATGAGGTTCCAGAATATCACACTCTTGTCCTGGATTGACTGCTTCCCAGAAGGGCCACTTATGGACACAAAACAGGTTTAAATTTGAATTTATTTTGGCTGATAATTTATCTCAGTTTGACTAATGAAAAAATATTCTTTTCTGTGTGGTTTTTGTGGTTTTTTTTTGTCGTTTTAAAAGAGAAACTTAAACAAAAGGGGGGGAAATAACAATGGAGAAACAAACAATCAAGTAGGAAATTTTCCTAAAGATGATTCCAAATGGCAGCTTATGGCCTTAGATATAAACACTGTATTTACCAACAGTTCAAAATGAAGTCTATAATCCATGCACGCTTATTTTTGTAATAGTTCTTTTTATTGCAAGCTATAGACAGACATTTGAATGCATGCAACACAATGTAGTTCACAGGTATAAGTGAATGCCAGCACACTTCAAAAGCTTTTAGACATACAAGTCCAAAATCACAAGTATTTAAGCTATGCTAAACTAAATTAGATGGGAGAATGGTGTGTGTGTGTGGGGTGGGGGTGGGAGTGGGCAGGGAAAGAGTGGAAATAAGTGAGCAATGAGCTATATTTGTCAGTTTAAACTTATGCAGATTTTCAGTGTATGTGAGGAATAGTAACTATGTATTAAAGCCTACATTTTCTGAGGGCAGGTAATGGTAATGCTGCTTGCCCTTCCTTGAGATGAATCTTACCTTGAGCACAAGGGGGCTCATTGGCATAAGATGCAATCCCTGCTCCAGTACTATTGCATCTAGCCCATTGAAATAATGTACTTGGAAGATGTATATTACTGGGGGAGGGGGTTGTTTTTTTGAGAGACAAGAGAAAGTTTGTAAAATCCACAGTGAAAGCTCTGCCAGTCGGTTCTTCTGTATCTCAGGAATTCAACATGAGGGGGGAGAAAAACAGGATGGGATTTTTTAAAGCATTTTTGACAATCAGATGCAGAAAGTACAGCCGTTTTTCCCAATGAAACATTGGAAAGCTAAACTAACAGATCCTCCAAATCCTTAGACAGACACCTAACCCAAGTTAGCAAAATAAACAAAAATCCTAAAGAAAACCAGTGGTGCTTTGAAGGACGACAAGGCAATATTCAAGATCTCGCATCACCACGCAGCTTTTTAAATGAAACCCCCAGGAAAGATACCCTCCTGGTGCAAAACATCAAATTGCCATTAAAGTGAATGCAGCTGTGATGATTTACACTGCCTGAGGATCTGGCCTCCTGAATTTAGAGAGATTTACCTGCAGGTCCCATGGGTTCAAGACAAAGGAGATTATATTCTTTCTCCACAAATATTTTCCAGTTCATTTTTTTTTTTGCTCTCCCCCACCCCCAAATACCCCAAACAACCCAAAACTAATGCTTCACACAATTTTTATAGGACCTTTGAGGACCTAGAATTTTTAAGTAATCTTTTTTGATGATTTTAGACAGACCATTAAGCTGAGGATAAAAGTCCCTGTGTTCAATATCTGGATACATTAAGCATTAGGCTTCAAATTTACAGCTTTCATTTTGACAAGGAAAATGGCACGTTTGGTCTCGAGTGCTACCTTGAACTGTTTTTCAACACTGAGACAGGTTGTCAGTCCGAGGGGAGGAGGTCTCTACAGCAGCAGCAGTGGCGACTGCTCTTGTGGTATGTCCACAAAGGTGGGGGACAGGCGGCGCTGCTGCCCATCTCGAAAGGCAACTTCAATGTGTTTTTAAAGAAAAAAATTATCTGGGTTTGTGGGAGGTAGAAAGCAAGTGGGATGCTGTAGCTGACTGCAACAGTGTGGCTTCCCCCTATCACGTGGATGAGTGTGTGTGTAAGTAAGTAAGTAAAATTAGGAGCCCCACCTGAATGATTCAGCTGAGATATCTTTGGAGGTTGGAATAAATTAGGGCTTTGATTTGAGCCATCACTGGTGGGATTATTCCAAAATGCCTTCCTCCCTACGACACACACAGACAAAATGATATTTTGGCACACAAAAACCACCTTGGGTTTTGCTGCCTCTCTGTTTGAAAGAGAGGTTGCAAAACCAGACCCATTTATCTGAAGCTCCCTTAGTTTGAGGAGCTTGGATAAAATAAGACTAAGTCAGGAATTTCGAGGACATTAAGGGCTTGGCTACACTTGCAGGTGCAGAGCGCTGGGAGTTAAACCAGCCTCCGGAGACCGCAGCAAGGAAAACACCACTGTGTGTTTACGCTGTCAGCTGCAAGCGCACTGGTGTGACCACATTAGCAGCTCTTGCAGCACCACAAAGAGCAGTGCATTGTGGTAGCTATCCCAGTGGGCAAGTGGCTGCAGCGTGCTTTTCAAAGGGGGGGTGGTGGAGTGTGACAGGGAGTGTGTTGCGTGTGTAGGTGGGGGGAGGAACAGTGTGTTTTGAGGGGCAGAGAGTGTTTCAGCATGCTGTTTTGTAAGTTCAGACAGCAGCAGATTCCCCTCCCCCCACCACTCTCTCTCTCTCACACTCACAGCAGCAGCTTTCCACAGTAATGGGTTGCTTTGTTCCGGAGCAGATAAGCAGCCGGCTGTCAGAAACGGAGCTTTGAAAGGGGATATCTGCATTCCTACAGCTGAGTTCAAAACAATGACAAGAGTGGCCACTTGACCTCAGGGGATTATGGGACGTTTCCGGAGGCCAATCATAGCGCTGTAATGCAACACGTTGTCCACACTGACACCCGTGCATTTCAGCCAAGGCACAGCAAGCTTTATGCTTCTCATGGAGATGGATTACCAGGAGCGCTCCAGCTGCAGAGGCCAGGCGCTCTAAGTGCCTTGCCAGTGTGGACACTTCAGGAGTTAGGGTGCCCGGGGCTGATTTAACGTGCTCTAACTTGCAAGTGTAGCCAAGCCTTTAGTCAAGGGAGATTGTATCCATGGAAGAAAAATGTGTTGACACACAGAAATATTTTTGGTGGGAAGAGAAGAAATCCAATGCATTCCAGTCTAATGTAGTAATGGATCAAGACTGATTTTATGTATAATATGTTGGTGTTTCTCCTTTTGAGCCTTAATCCTGTAAGCACTTACTACCGGTTTAGTGTACTGCTTACCACCCTGAGTAGTTTCAGGATACATCTAAACTACAGTTGAAGGTGTGATTTGTAGCTCAGGAAGGCAGACATGTACTAGTTTTAATCTAGCTAGCTCTCTAAAAATAGCAGTGAAAATATGGCAGCATTCAGTCTTCAGCACTGGCTGTACAAGCTCATCTGGTCCCCCTGAGTATGTACTAGCTAGTGTTCCTAGCCTGCCCTGAAACCAGGGCTGCTACATCTTCATGGATGTTTTTATCAAGATGACTAGATTAGAGCTAACACAGTGGGGCCTATACACACTGCAAATCACACCTTCAATAGCAGTGTAGACATAGGCTCATAGACTTAGTGGAGCTATTCATGGAAATAACCCTTTCATCTAGTAATAGGTGTTTTCAGGATCAGGCCCTTAATTTAGGAAATGCGCTAAAGTGCCTCAGTTCAAAACTGTGTCTTGATTGTAGAAATCCAGGCAGACCTGCCAATCTACATCAGAATGTGCAACTAGGTCGCTTTCTTATAAAGCTTAATTTTAGTGAGCCCACTTTCTGAAAACAACACTTTTGATACTGTATGTATTGGAGAAACTGACTGAATCACAATCTACTTCCTTCTGCTTTCCTGAAGTCAATAGAGTTAAATTGGTGTAAATAAGAGAGTAGAATTTACCCCCTTGATTGATCTTCATCCAGATTAATCTGCATTCAAAGTGAAAGTAGAACTGAAAATCAACATGGTCGTAGAAAAATGCCTGGGAATTTTCCCATTTGAGCAGAGCTAGCAACAGTACCAACACGTGTCCTGATAATGGTCCCAACTCCTGAGGCGCAAAAGTTGTACCAGCCACAAACAGAGTATCCCAGAAAGCTCTGAAGAACCTACAAATCTCTATCCTGTCGAACTGTAGGAGACAACACATGATCAGTTTATGTAAATGCAAGAAGCATATGACTGGATTGCTGGCATTGGTCTGCTTTTATTGTTCATGTTTTTAACTTGAAGTGTCTTGTGATGCATCTGAGACTTGAAAAGAAGAACAGTAACAAAAGGAGTTGTTGTCTATTTGTTTGTATTTTTAAAAAAAAATTCTCATGGGCAGTAAATAACTCACTCAACGCAAGTACACTAGGCTGTTGTGTACAATTCTTTGTGGTGTGAGCTGACCTATCACCACAAATACCCCTCACATGTTTCTCAGAGACATTAAATGAGAAAATAACATTGCAAGTCACAAGAGAGTGAGTCATAACATGGTCAATTAAACAGGCTTAATTCCAGTGGGACTCATGGGTGCTTGCCTTCCTACAGGGGCAAGATTTATGGAAAGCTGTGGGTTCAAGTCTTCGAGCTGGATTTTGGCTCCTAGTTTTTGTTGGTTTTATGACTATTTGCATATGAAAAACTATGTTCTGAAGGAGTTGGGATTGAGAGTATGTATGAGTAATTTAGGGTAAAGAAACGTTATAGCATTGTTGTAATTATCCTGCAAACAAGTATTATAAACCCAGGAAATTAAGCAGCAGAATTAAGGTTAAACATTGAAGAAATCTAAACATATAAAGCTACAGAAATGCACACTTAAGTCATCCATAACAGCCTTAAGTCTGAAGTGACATCTTGGGCAGGAGAGAGAAGTGTAATGGTCAGGGATGATGTCCCTAGCCTCTGTTAGCCAGAAGCTGGGAATGAGCAACAGGGAATGGATCACTTGATGATTACCTGTTCTGTTCATTCCCTCTGGGGCACCTGGTGTTGGCCACTGTTGGAAGACAGGATACTGGACTAGATGGGCCTTTGGTTTGACCCAGTATGGCCATTCTTAGTGTGTGAAATCCTGGCTCCATTCATGTCAGCTGAAATTTTGCCACTAACTTGAGTGGAGCCAGGATTTCACCCAATGGTCTTTAAAAATCCAGGAGTACAAACAATATTATGCATTTATCATAACTGTACAGTTACTGCATGGCATCATCCCTCCTTTTAAGTTTATTTGGAGCCTAACTAATTTGTCTCTCCTAGTACTTATACCCTTCACATACTCATAGGCACTCATTCCGCTACTTGGTGTTTAGCCAGCCGAGCCCCTTTTTAGAGCTGGTCTTCATTTGCTGACATAAGAGTTCCATCTGCAAAAACTAGTCTGGCAAACCTGAAATTTCTGAATTTATAAAACAGTCCTGTTCAGCAAACTTTTGTTGACTTGTGAGCAGGGTTCCAGCAGAGCTCTGCCTGCCAGGGTAGATTTCCAATGAAAACCTACTTGGTTGGTTCCCTGCCAACTTGCCTGGTGGGCTGCTGCACACCCCAAGCTTCAAGGGTCCAGGACAGCCCTGCCATATGGACTGCTTTGAAACCAGGAATCCTGGGTTTCCAAGGTCCGCAGATCCAGTGCAGCCCTGCCATGTGGATTGCCCTAGTGCTGGGGACCCGAGGGTTCCAGGGTCCGTAGCTCTAGGGCAGCCCTACCACGTGGACTGCCCCAGGCTGTGGATCCCTGGGCCTCCAGACTCCTAAGCCAACTGGGTCCCCAGGCTGTCTGCTCAGGAGTCAGGCAGCCCAGGGAACCAGTTGGCCCAGAGGTCTGAAACCCCTGGAGTCCATGTCATTCCCCTGCAGCAGAATTTTCAAAATGAAATTTGAGGTGGATTTCTGGCTCAGAAGAAATTTTGAAAAGTTTGGTTTTGGTCAGATTGAGAATTAGCCCAAATTCTGAAATATCAACATTTCTCGCAAGCCAGAAATCTGGATCAGCTCAAATGATTTGTACTAATTTCAATCAGCTCAAATGATTTGTACTGTAACTTCTTTGACTTCAATAGATTCATTTTGCTTTTTGAACCTTACCCGATCAGTAAAGCTGAGTTTTTTGTTGCAGTCACACCCAGAGGTCTCATCCCTCCAGCTCTTTAGTTGTTTTCTCTCTGTCAGACTGTATACGTACACACGCTAGGCAGAAAGCCCTATTCTCATCAATTTACCAAAAATAATCAAGATGGCTGTTTTGAACCTGCATTAGGGCCTGATCCTGATAGATGCAGAGCACTTGAGCACCCCCTGAGCCCACGTTAGTTACCAGAAAATGACTGAGTGAGTTTGGATCAAGTCAACTTTTTAATCCCCTCCTAGTCCACTTTAAATAAAGTAACAGGTATTCCCCATATTCAACAGATGAATCTGCTGAGCAGTGGTATGTAAGAGATGCATATGCAGTGAACCAAACTGCACTCTGCTACACCCCTGGAGACCCTTGGCCATCAACGGGTTTGCAGTGGCATTGCTGAGAGCACAGTTTAGGGCAGCACATAACATGCAGGTGTTTGAGCTTTGCACTTCTAGATTTTGCACAGTGATAGAAAGTTATGTTGAGTGCTCGTGTTGTTATATGTAGTGCAGTAGTGCCCAGAGTGCCGGTCAGAATCAGTGGCCTGTTGCACTTGGTGCTGTACAAGCACAAAGAAATAGATAGTCCCTGTCCTGAAGAGCTTAACAGATCAAATTTTCAAAAACACCTAAATCCCTTTTCAAGAGTGACATAGGCACTTAGGTGCTTAAGTTCCATTGACTTTCAAGTCAGTTTTGAAAATGAGACTTAGACTTTTAAGTTACTTAAGTGCTTTAGAAAATTTTACCTACCATCCAGTTTAAGAAAGGATTTTACAAGTGGGTGGAATAAACAATGTTTAGTGTAGCAGGAACATTAGGGTAACAGCAACATATCCAGCTTGATGGTTCTAAGTCATCTAAAACCATTGTGTTGTAAAATAGAGGTATCTGCAATCCTCACTGACCATCCACCTAGCCATTGTCATTTGGCAATTTCCTACCAGCCATCATGGTAGAAGTAACTCTTGTTGAGGGATTTGAAGGAGGAGATGGAAGTGGACTTATGGATTAGTTTGGAGAGGGTGTTTGATACAAAAGGTTGATCATGGTGGGAAGGACGGGTGGTGAAGCTGGCAATATTGGTGAGCTGGAAGGGACGGGATGGCAAGAAATCAAGAGGATGATGGATGATACCTATATGGAGGGGGAGGAGAGAGTAGTCACATGGGATTGAAAGAATCGGGATCAGGAAACAAGATCCTTAATACCCCCATCATGGTCTTTTTAGTGTAATTCGGAGGGAAGGAATGTAAGATAAATGGGAGGCTGCTGTAGGAGAGAGAGTGCAGAGGCAGTGTCAGAAGGGGAGACCTTGGTTTCTGTGAGAACAGGATGGAAAGGGCAGGAAATTGAGGTCATGGATGGCTGTGATCTTTCTGAGATTGCATGAACATTCCTGAGAGATCAGGAGGTGAGAAGTGGGAGATTGGAGAAGGTTTGAAGGGAAGGTCCAGGAGGATGGAGTTGGGGGTGAAGAAGAATGCAATATGAAATGTATACTCTATAATGGGCAAAATGCAAACTAGGTGCTGCCCCATGATTCTGGCTATACTATATTTCTTTAACTTCAGCAGGATTTAAGCATGTGCTTAAACTTAAGCATGTACTTAAGTGCCCTTCCTGGGTAAGAATGTTTTCCTACTCAGGGCCAGTAGTGTTGATGGAAACTGACCCTGCCATGTGTATTGTAACCCTGATCCATGTCAGATGACTGAGGCCAGGAAATAAATAGCAGTCTCTCTTACCAGTGTGTCTGTGTGTCATACTCTTATTATAACAACCAGCATGAAACCCTGTTGTTTTTTAGGAGTTGTGTTTTCTGTACAGAACTCCAGTGTCTCTAGTCATAACAGCAGAAGGAGTTGTAGCAGCAACAGCATGCCCCCCTGTAATTTCTATTTGGATGAAGTTACCAAACTGCGTGAAGCAATGGGGAATTGAATCTGTAGTTGCCTATTTATTTTTTTTTTTTCTTATGTGACTATATCTTCTCCCATTGGATTCAAGATTACATTATAGTTCTGCTTAGGCCAGAAGGGTGAGGTGATTGAATGAAGTTTCAGTGAAATATCCAAGAGCTCAAACAAGTGGAGGAATTACAAAAGAAAGGGCATTTTTAATGGGAAGCTGGTGCGGGAGGAGGGAGGTGAGGAAATGAAAATCTTGTGCATATTTTGGAGTCGGGGGGAGAGAGAGAGAGACCCACAGTCACCAGTAATTTGTGTTTATAGTACTTTTCATCTAGGGGCTTCCCAACACTTTACAAATTGAAGTTAAAATAAGCTTCACTATTATCTCTGTGAACTAACGAGTATTCATCTGGTTTATATATGGGTAACCTGAAGCATAGAGGCTAAATGACCAGGGTCACACTGTGATTAAGGCATAGAGCCAGGAACAGAATCCAGTATTAACTTCTGTTCCTTGCTATAATCACTAGACCATACGGCCTCTCAATGAACACAACTGCTTTCTTCAATCAAGTTCCTACTTAAATATTTAGCGTGGGATTTTCAAAGGAGTTTAAGGGAGTTAGACACTCATATTCCATTGAAATTCAAGTCCCTTAGGCTTCTTTGAAATGGCTGTTCTTACCCTTAAAACTAGCATATGTACCATTTGTTCAGGGTGATGTAAAATGAAATCTCTGCACCTAGAGATTAGACAATGCTTTGCTATGATACAGGCTATTAGCCAGATGTCTTTGATGGGCACATATTGAGAGGGACAACTCACCAAGTCCACTGCCACTGGTGAGGCACTTCTAACATTACATTTGTATTTTTGTTTTGCTTTGTTTATTCCCTCATCTCCTGTTGTTACAGATGCCACATTACCTGTCTCAGTACCAGAGAGACATGACAAAATGTCTACCCAGATGCAAATGATAGAAGCAAAGATAACTTCTGATGAAAGGAATAGACTGAATTATGCAGTCTTTCTCTTGGATCAACCCAATGGCTCGGTGGTGGGGACATTGTATGGTGAACAAACCCGGGTTCAACACTGTGTGGACCATTATGGTCTGGGTATTCAGAAGCTGGATATGACATTTTTTGCCTTTAAGAGAGGTAAGGATGTGTGTGAGAGAGAGGATTGTAATGCATTGCTCATGATCATTCTCTTGGCTGGCTTACAACAGCAGAGAAACTGCAAAGGAGACATTCCTTTTCCTGCTGGGCCAAATGACATAGCCTGAAGCATGATTTGCCTATAGGATGGCAGGGAGGAGAATGAGGACATATGGGAGGTATGAAAATGAGAGTCAAGGAGGCAGTGGAAGATGATAATGACTTCCACACAACCCAGCAAAAATTCATAAGTAGCAATCTTGAAGGAATTGAAAAATGCTCAGTTGGTAGAAACCCTAGTGAGGGCAAAGAAGTCTGAGAGGGAACCCACTTTCTGATACTTGAGGTCAGGAGTGAAAATTAGAAAGAACAAGGAAGAGAAAACTAATATGGAAGTCTTGAATGAACACATTAAGACTGAGTACTAGGCTAAGGAACCAATAGCATGGCTGGATTAGTGCCATTAAACTTAACTAAACACTCGCATAGTTTCCAGTTTCAGCACACACAGGGTTGTATGGCACTTGGAGTAGATTCCTCTTGGGAGTTGGTGTCTGTATTAGTTGCTCCAAAATCCTGGTAATGAACACGGAGGGGATACTCTCTGGACATTACTAAAACAGCAGCCTCTTCTTTAATTTTAACTTCACCCCTCTAAATTCAGCAGATACTGCATGTCAGCTAGTGGACAGATGTCAATACAAACTGGTAGTTACAAGGTTTAACCTCTGTGTAATGGCACCCACATTTCATCAGACCATTCAGCACATCTCTCCTTTCTGTTTCTTTTCTGTATGTAAAATATTTAAAGGCTTTTTTTTCCTTCAAGGAGGTTGAACACTGTAATATCATTTTTGTTCATGGACCAGTGAACACTCCAGCTTGTCAGTATTCAAATTACTATCAAACTGTTTAGTACCTGTCTAATTAAAACAGAACTCACTTGCTGATCCCTTCATGCTAAAGCAAATTAAATCCTAATAGGAAAAGTGATATATCATTTAGAGCAAAAGAAAATGAATAACTATAACATAACCACCTCCCTCACCATCTTTTTTTTCTTTTACAAGAAGTTGGGGAGGGGAATGGCAGGTGATGCATGCTCTCAAACAAAAGCATATGCATCACTGTAGTCTTCAGACAGCTCCTAGTGTTAGCAAAAAAAGCCTTCACTTGTAAAGAGGATGGAAATTTCCATCGCAAAAGGGGAGGATGGTACAGGGGTTTGGAGAAGGGGGAAGGGCAGAGGAAAAGAGGATGGATTAGAAAGAGAATATATCCCTGCAATGTTTAAAACTGAATGGAGAGTTTTTCACCATTACATCATCTGCAGCAGGAGGGGTGATCTTCCTTGGAATTCCCGGTACTCTTTGTTTGGCACCATTAAATTGTGCAAGTTTCCTAGGGAAAGGGGCCACCCTAGTCTGATACTCTTGGGTTATTGATAAAAATAGAACAGAGAATATCTCCTTGTTTTCATTCTATCTTAACAGTTCTTCCAAGTGGAGAATGGTCTGTTCTTCTTCCATTAACAAAGGGTCCACTTGTCCTGGGGTACTGACTTGTTCTATGAGGCCTTCAATTCTTTGCCTTTTTTTTCTCCCCTTCCTCTGACCCTTCCTCTTGCTGAGTTGTAGCATGTTGCCTCTGGCAAGGAATACTAATGAGCATCTCCTTTCAAGAGCTTATGCAGATTCCACTCTGTGAATCAGCTGGCAAGGGATGCTGTCCAAGTAACTTACTTAGAGTACTGCCCAGGGGCAGAGTGTATTGCTGCATGGCATGCCTCATTCCCTGGCCTGAGAATAAAAGGTCAAAGAGTCTATTTTCAATTCAGGGGCTCCTATGGTATGGAGGAAAGGAGTACTTGTGGCACCTTAGAGACTAACAAATTTATTAGAGCATAAGCTTTCATGAGCTACAGCTCACTTCATCGGATGCATACAGTGGAAAATATAGTGGGGAGATTTTATATACACAGATAACATGAAACAATGGGTGTTACCATACACACTGTAACAAGAGTGATCAGGAAAGGTGAGCTATTACCAGCGGGGGGTGGGGGAGGAACCTTTTGTAGTGATAATCAAGGTGGGCCATTTCCAGCACTTTACAAGAACAGTAGGAGGGGAAATAAACACGCTTCCTCAGCTCTCGTCCCCTAATGCCCCTACTCTACTTGCGCTACATTGATGACATCTTTCAGAGTTTCAGAGTAACAGCCGTGTTAGTCTGTATTCGCAAAAAGAAAAGGAGTACTTGTGGCACCTTAGAGACTAACCAATTTATTTGAGCATAAGCTTTCGTGAGCTACAGCTCACTTCATCGGATGCATACTGTGGAAAGTTTAGAAGATCTTATTATATACACACAAAGCATGAAAAAAATACCTCCTCCCACCCCACTCTCGTGCTGGTAATAGTTTATCTAAAGTGATCACTCTCCTTACAATGTGTATGATAATCAAGTTGGGCCATTTCCAGCACAAATCCAGGTTTTCTCACCCCCCCCCCCCCCCCACACACAAACTCACTCTCCTGCTGGTAATAGCTTATCTAAAGTGACCACTCTCCTTACAATGTGTATGATAATCAAGGTGGGCCATTTCCAACACAAATCCAGGGTTTAACAAGAACGTCTGGGGGGGGGGGGGTAGGAAAAAACAAGGGGAAATAGGCTACCTTGCATAATGACTAAGCCACTCCCAGTCTCTATTAAGCCTAAGTTAATTGTATCCAATTTGCAAATTAATTCCAATTCAGCAGTTTCTCGCTGGAGTCTGGATTTGAAATTTTTTTGTTGAAAATAGCGACTTTCATGTCTGTAATCGCATGACCAGAGAGATTGAAGTGTTCTCCGACTGGTTTATGAATGTTATAATTCTTGACATCTGATTTGTGTCCATTTACTCTTTTACGTAGAGACTGTCCAGTTTGACCAATGTACATGGCAGAGGGGCATTGCTGGCACATGATGGCATATATCACATTGGTGGATGTGCAGATGAACGAGCCTCTAATAGTGTGGCTGATGTTATTAGGCTCTATGACATCTACCAATGTGATATATGCCATCATGTGCCAGCAATGCCCCTCTGCCATGTACATGGGCCAAACTGGACAGTCTCTACGTAAAAGACTAAATGGACATAAATCAGACGTCAAGAATTATACCATTCAAAAACCAGTTGGAGAACACTTCAATCTCTTTGGTCACTCGATTACAGACCTAAAAGTGGCAATTCTTCAACAAAAAAACTTCAAAAACAGATTCCAACGAGAGACTGCTGAATTGGAATTAATTTGCAAACTGGATACAATTAACTTAGGCTTGAATAAAGACTGGGAGTGGATGTGTCATTACACAAAGTAAAACTATTTCCCCTTGTTTATTTCCCCTCCTACTGTTTTTGTAAACTGCTGGAAATGGCCCACCTTGATTATCACTACAAAAGGTTTTTTCCCTGCCCCCCCACCCCGCTCTCCTGCTGGTAATAGCTCACCTTTCCTGATCACTCTTGTTACAGTCTGTATGGTGACACCCATTGTTTCATGTTCTCTGTGTATATAAAATCTCCCCACTATATTTTCCACTATACGATGAAGTGAGCTGTAGCTCACTAAAGCTTATGCTCTAATAAATTTGTTAGTCTCTAAGGTGCCACAAGTACTCCTTTTCTTTTTATGGATACAGACTAACATGGCTGCTACTCTGAATCCTATGGTATGGCTGGCTTAGACAGAGCATTGAAGGATTCATTAAAGAAAAAATGAGGAAAAGCTTTTACAAATATACTTAAAGGCAAGGGAATGGGTGGCTCAGGGCTTGGTACTGGACTGCAGAACCTTTTAATTTTATGTTGCTGGTTCAAATCTAGCCCAAGTGAGAAAATAAGTAGAAAATGTAACCATATGAGAACTTGTACCTAGCCAATATGAAATGAATTTAGTGGTCTCAGTGCAGTTCTGAGTGGACAGTTGTCCACATTACAGATTTTCTAGTACAATTGGGCAACCTTCTTGAGAGTGACAGATGAAGTGTCAAGAGCTGAATGGGCCAGGTAAGTAGAACACACCAGAGAAACCATGGAGTGGCAGTTGTCGGAAATTGTGTACTTCCTCTGTTATGTGGATTAAAAAACTTCATTCACCAGTGACACTGTAAATAGAGTTATCTGTACATTTCCGAACCTAAAAAAGGATGTACTTTGAGTTTATCTGTAAATATGGGTGAAAGGTTTAGTTTTTTTGGTGGACGAGGAGGGTCTGATCCACACTGTTTTGCCTATCCGTAGACTTAAAAGAATGTAAAGACTTTTATAATGATGCCAGGGATTGAAAAAGTCAGTAGATAAATTTTATATATATTGCTGGTGTGGGAGAGAAATGATGGTCCAATGCTAGCCTGGGTTATGGGAGACCTGTGTTCAATTGCCTGCTCTTCTACCAACTTCCTCTGTGACCTTGGGCAAGGCACTTAGACTACGTCTACACTTTGAGCTGGAGATGTAATTTCCAGCTCAGATAGACATGCCCACGCTAGCGCTGATTGAGTGAGAGCACTAAACATAGAAAAGTAGCTGCAGCAGTGTGAGTGGCAGGACTGACTGGTCACCTGAGTACATGCTTTAGGTTTCAGATGGGATTGTACTTGGCGGCAGCTAACTTGTCACACCCCTGCTGATACACTTCTGTTTTTAGCACATCAACTCAATGAGAGGTAGTCTACTCAAGCTGGAAATTGTACCTTAGTCTCTCTGTGCCTCAGTTCCCTGTCTGTAAAATAGGGATAATACTGCCCTACCACCCAGGGTGTTGGGTAGAATACATACATTAAAGGATTTGAGGTCCAATACTGCAGGGATCAGGGCCATATAAATAGCTAACATTGAGTCTGAAAACTAAACTTTTCCAAATCACAGGATATGGAGTCAGGGTATCCTGGTTCTTCCCCTGGCAGAGTGGTCACACGCAAGTCACTTAGTCTCTCTGTTTCTGCAT